ARMAYWWTAGGCACAAAAAAGAAGGACACGATATGATTGATGAAAACAAACTTCTCAACTTCTTCTAAGCAGCAATTATTTTAGATGCATCACTTCTATATTTATTCAGCAGGTCGAGTRATAATTGAAACACTTACCAGCAATCGTGGGTTTTTGAGTTGGGTCGATAATCTGTTTCCTTTGAATTTCGCATAAGTGACCATCCTATCAGCAAACAAAAACATTACCATAAATCTTAAACTTCAAAATAAAATAAAATAAAATTAAAAAAGAATAATCTTGAATGAATCATTTTATACAGACACATACGGAATTAAACTGGGATCTAATACCTTTTTCTTTCAATTATGCCTATTATTTCATTATTCACCTTTCAGGGATTTCCTTTAAATAAAATGATTACTGACCTTTACTGGTCTCAATTGCTGGAATACGAATCCTTGCCTTGAAATCAAAGTCGCCTGTCTTTCACCGAAGCCACATYTACTCAACTCACAACTGTTTTCCGCTTCGTTTTCGTCGAGTTTGAAGTTGTAAGAAGAACAGTCGACATCAGAATGACATAAAACAAGACATTGCATCCAGTCTTGGGTTTCAACACTTTGATAAACTCTTTTCACAACAATRCGATCTTTTATGGTTGTTGGGTAAAAATCAGCAATAACCAAAATGCAAAAACCTCCATAAAATAGATAATGAAGATATGGGATATAATTTTGGAGGAATCTCATGTTTGGTTGTCTTGTAGAACTGGCAAGGCTACTGAAATACGACGACAAGCTGTAGTTGTACTATTTGCAGTGAAATWAGTGTACATTGTAACCTGTCGTTCACTTCCTCGAGTACCGATAAGTACAAATAATACACATCGTCATCAAGAAATCACATCGCTCAATAATGAAGAATAGAAAACGAAAAGAGGTCTGAAAATGGAAGGAAAAATGGGAATATAAAACAATAAAAGCTCAAAACGTACGACAAAACTATTATTCTTTGGAAGACTTAGAAACTATAGTCTTTTTCGTACATCCCGAACTGATAAGTTGTTCAAATACGTAACGTCAACATTACCAGTAACCATGTCAGAAAACGATTAATACAGTACTCAAAAATACAGTGACTTGGCAGCAGAACTGCCGTTAAATCCCCAAGTATTAAAAAAACAACAACATTAAAATGCAAAATACAACTTCTTATTTAGGTGCCAACAAAGTAAAGTCGTTTCGTTGATAGGAATAGAGATTTTTAAATTGTAACAACGTAAATGATAAATAGATATCGGGATTTGGAGAATTCTTAAAATTACAAAGTGAAAAATACATCTTGAACATGTACATGGAAAAAAAGGAGTTTATTGTAGTTTTTAACGTGGTATTGATTGATAACATATTTTTTACATATATAGCATTCTCATATAAGGACAGACAGACTGTTCACAGCAAAGTCCCACACCTAAAGAACAATATACCTTCAGTAATCATTATTAACAT